TTCGCCAATTAATTTCTCTCTATTGTATATAGAGCGACAGGTCTCGCTTTGCTCAAGTTTGGTTTCGAACTCCTGAACTCAAACGATCCGCCCAGCTCGGCCTCCCAGAGAGCTAGGATTACAGGCGTGAGCCACCGCGCCCGGCCTTAAAACAACTTTTGATAACTACAGCCTCGGTGACTCTGCCTCTCTGTCCTGCGGCCTTGTGAATCTCGAACATAACACACACACACACACACATATGTGTGCTTTAAAGAAATATAAGCAGCAAAGGGCTTGCTGTGAGTACCTTGAGGGTTTCCTGGAAATCACCATAAACCCTCTAGGCGCCCTACCTTCTAAGGAAGCAGTTCTTTGATTACATTTACAACTGTCTTCCACAGTGGTGGGGTTTTTTTTTTTTTTTTTTGATGTTTTTTGCTTTTTTTTGGCCCCTCCGGCAGTCGGGCTCATCTTTGTTCCTTCTACAATGAACGTTATCCTAGAAAACAATCTACCTCATCCACATGTACACATTTAACAGAGTTGCATATGATATTCTCTCTCTCCTGGTTTTATTCTCAAAATCTGGGGTTACATTTGTTTCCTTATTTTTTAGTGTTACATATTTATGTTTTCTCTGTTATTTCCTTACCACCGTGCCAGAAGTTTCTAATTAAGGGATATTTTTCAAAGAATCAGGTCTTTTTCTTTATGACGTATGCTGGTTTTATCTCACTTTGTTTTGTGGGGGGTGTTTGGTTGTTTTGCTAACATCTGCTTTGAGCAGGCTGGGCCTTTTCCCGCCAAGTCCCCAGAGCAGCCACATCCGGAACAAGGACTCACGGACCTGCCGGCCTTACCTCGATGAGCTTCCTTTCGTAGGAGCTGGCTAGTTCTTCGGCAACTTCTCCTGGCTTCTGTTCAGTTACTGTAACTTCTCCATCAACACTCCAAAGATTTGGCACCACTTTAAAAAAAAAAAAAAGAAAGACACTCCATAAATATTTTAACAGTAATCAAAAATTATTTTCTCAGTAAAGATAATTTCTTCTTTCCCAAGTGACTTCTCCAAAAGAAAAAGCTCTTTTGAAGAAAAACAAACAATAAAAAACACCACATAATTACCAATTACTTCAACACTGTAACATTTTCACATAAGTACAATAAAACGAGTGATAAGCTATATTTTTTAAAATGCGACAACTGTCATGCGATAGATGCTCAGGGGCCCGGGGAATCATCTTATCACTACTTACCATTTCAGGGGAAAATAGTGCTTGGTAAGACATAAGAACCTACGCTTGCATCTTTTATATTTGCCAAATTTTTCTCCAACAAAAAAGGTATCCAGTGAGGTAGTTCCGTGGCCAGAGCGAGTGTGCCAAGATATTAGATGGGGTCAGATCACCAGGCAGTATAACAAGAATTGGATTGTAAAACCATGCTTAGGTAAGGCAAGGAAGTTCTGGAAAAACTCTAAAACCTGCGCATAACGTCAACACAAAGACATGTCAAAAAGAGACAGGCTCAGGCCAGGCCTGGTGGCTCGTGCCTATAATCCTAGCTCTCTGGGAGGCCGGGGCAGGGTGGATTGCTCAAGGTCAGGAGTTCGAAACCAGCCTGAGCAAAAGTGAGACCCCCATTTCTACTAAAAATAGAAAGAAATTAATTGGCCAACTGAAAATATGTAGAAAGAATTAGCCAGGCATGGTGGCACATGCCTGTAGTCCCAGCTACTTGGGAGGCTGAAGCAGGAGGATCGCTTGAAGCCAGGGAGTTTGAGGTTGCTGTGAGCTAGGCTGATTACATACTACTAGCGGCAGGCAACAAATCGAGACTCTGTCTCAAAAAAAAGACGCGGACGCAGCAGGTCAAGCAAGAAATGGACGGACGGAGCACCCCTGGGTATGGTTTTACATAGATACTGTCCCACATATGCGCACTCTGTGGAGAAGACCAATAAGGCGAAAAAATAGGTCAATGAATAGGAGATAGGTTCCAAGGCAAGTAGAAAATCAAAGCAGGAAGAACTCCTATGCCGGGGTGAGACAAGAGCACAGGCCATGTTTGAAGATTGTGGATTTTGCCTCCATAGTCCTCAAGACAAGCCCAACTCTGCAGATGGTTTACCTGTGTGCTCATGGTAGACAGAAACCGCTGACACCGCCACGGCCATGGAAACACATGAGAAATCAATATTGCCACGGAAAATCAGACAGTGGCAACAGATTGTTTCAGAGATAGAGAGGACTACCCAAATAATCAGTTTAAAATGTTTCCAACAGCTGTTCCTGAGGAGTGCGACCATGGTGAGAGAGGTCTCGTGTCTTTTTGTAACAAGGCTAAGATAACTGATGACTTTTTAATCTAGTGCCTGTCAAATTTCAATTTAAAAACACAAACGAAATTTTTGCAAACCAGTTTATCAGTAATGGAGGAGAGACTGCGCTTAGAAACAGGACTTAGGGCGGACACAGTGGCTCACACCTGCGATCTAGCACTCTGAAGGAACCTTGAAGTCAGAGTTGAGACCAGCCTGAGCAAGAGCAAGACCCATCCATCTCTTCTAAAAATAGAAAACTGAGCCGGGTGTTGGCTGGCGCACACCTGTAGTCCAGCTACTCAGGAGGCTAAGGCGGGAGGATTGCTTGAGCTCAGAGTTTTTGAGGTTGCGTGAGCTATGATCTGGCCACTGCACACTAGACTGCACAACAGAGTGAGACCCTGCCTCAAAAAAAAAAAAAAGAAGAAAAGAAAAGAAACAGGACTTAGAAAGGTTCGGTGAGACAGCAGCAGTGCCAATTAGTGGGGCAGCCGGGGCAGAACTACCTTGGCAGGTCTCCCCATCAGGAAGTGGATGCCGCTGCTGGGCAAAGCCTGGCGCTGATACACAACCAAGATGTGGAATTAACAGCCCTGGTCTCCGCCCGGCCCAGGCTACCTTCTTCCACAAGCACGTCTGCTGATCTGGATCCACCCTACCTGCTTCAAGTGCACACGTCATATTAGCAATCAAGCCGTGGGCCTTCTGGCCCCAGGCACCAAGCCCACAGAAACTATATTTGAGAGAAATCAGCAATCTTCAACACTAGAGGAGGAAGATGCTTAAATAAGCTTCTGACCTTCAAGGCTGCGCAAAGACCCTGTACAGCCATGAAATTAAAGAAATTCTCTTAGAAACTAGCCAGTCAACCTTCCCTTGCCACTATTTGACCTCCTGCTGGCCTCGGTCAGCTCCTGCAGCCTTAATAAGCATGTCAAAAACTTCAATTCCATGTATGAATAATAAAAAAACACCTCTAGCTATGTATCATAATTTTCAGTAGGTAAGCTTAACGATGGTCTCCAATACCCCTGCCTCCTGGTATCCACATTCTTATATAATCCCAGCCCCTTGACTATGGGCTGGACTTACTGACTCTCCTCTAAGGAACAGAATATGGCGGAAGTGATGCGATGTCGTCTCAGAGTAAGTTATAAAAAGACTGTGGCTTCTGTCTGAGGTGGCCTTTCACTCACTCATTCACTCCTACGTGCTGCCTTATGGAGAGAACTGATGGATCCAGCCAGCAGGCGAGGAGTGGCAGGGGACCCTCCCCCAGGTGAGCCTTGGGACGTCAACTGCAGCCTCAGCCGACACCCTGATCGAGCTCGTGAGGGACCTGGAGCCAGGCACATGGCTGCGCCACACCTTGACTGTCCATCCCACACAAACTGTGAGATAGCAAATGTTTGCTGCGTAAGCTGCTAAACTTTGGGGTGATTTGTTACACAGCAACAGATAACTAATACAGTACCTTTAATCATTCCGCAGGTATTTCCTGAGAGACTACTAAAAATAAGACTCTGACTTGGAACACAGAGTTACAAAGACGGTGATATGGTCCCACATGGGCGACATTTACCAAAACCACAAAAACAAAAAAACTGAGGCAAACTTGCTCAATGCATCTCTAAAGCTTAAGGATTAATATTTACAAAGTGAGAAAAATCAACTTCACAGCTAACTAAGGCACGAGAAGCCATGGGAAGGCAAGGCACGAGAAGCCATCTGACTGGGCTAAGTTCATGCAAGCACAGCATCCGATCCGTGTATCTCCAAGTCAAGAAGGCTCATCTCCTTGGGAGTGAGAGGACATGTTGGTATTCAAGGCAGGCAGCACAGTGAAAGTCTGAGTAATTTTGAGTCATTTGAAAGCCCAAATAACAGGTTATAAGCATTCTGTATTCTTCACACATTCCCCCAAAAACCAATCAATTTGGAGAGGATCGATTGTGATTAAATTCTGAAAATCAAATCTAAACAATAAATACAAACATTTGTGACTGATGGAACTAAAACTTTGTTTTTAAAGTTACATCTTTCCTGAGGGTGATCCATTAATTTTAAAATGGAAAGAATGACAATATAATATCCCAGGAGAAAAACATACTTGTCTGTCATGTCAGTAATAGCTCACTCTGAATTCAAGAACACCAGGCTTTAAGACACCGGTTAGCAGTGCAATCTTAAGCCTAAAATTTAATCATTAACAGTTCCATCCATATTTTGAGCCACTTTGATGGCATTCAGAACTTTATATTTTTCCCTGCATAAAAAGTGCAGCTGCCAGTATCCAACAAGACAGAAAGTTTCACCTATATGGTTGGATATTTCCATTTCTAATAAGAAACTTACGCTACACATTAAAAAACTATAATACACAGGTCAAAAAGCAAAAAATGAGGGCTGTGTGTAATGTACTAACCAAAATTTAAAAGCTACATCCATATACAATGGGTTGTCACAGAAATCAAAATAATGATACTCCTTCCCCTTACATAGTACTTTGCAGGCTACACAGTATCCTTACATACAGAATCTCACCGGAGTCTCCGAACAGGACACTTTCTGGCCATTTTAACCTCATGCCAACTGTGAAGATGTTAACACAATTAACTGAGATCCTCCACTGACCCAATCAACCTAGTTACCATCCACATTATTCACAAGAAAATCTCCACTCTGTTTACTCGCCTGTACTCCGAGTGGTAGGTAATTTTCTCCTGCATTTTCCTGATGACCTAATTATAAAGTTGTAAGTTAGACTCCAAATGGAAAAAGAATGATTTGGCAACAATAATAAGCCTTCTTTTATATTCGAATAGTCAGACCCTGAAACTGTGTTTGGTAGAAGCACAAAGACATTGACTGGAAATCAGAAGCATTTTGCATGTTCCAGAAAGGCTGTGGGTTAGTTCGCATCCTTAGTAGGTCCTATAACCTTCAGGAACATTCATATTTTTCGCCTCATTGCAGCCTGTCATATCTGTTTGGGGGTATCTGTGATAAGTCATCTAAGATAAGTAGACACTATGCTGGCCTTCCTAGCAGGCACCAGAGAACACATGGGGTTTTCTGCCTAAATTATTTTAAGCAAAACTTCCAATACCACAGAGAACAGCATGGCAAACAGTGTGATGAGGTTACTTTTTGCTTTCAATTTGAACAAGCTTGGCATGACCCAGATGCAAACAGTGTGAGATGCTGGTGGTGAAAGTGGATAAAGAACCAGTTTAAATTCAGAGATGGTTTCCCAGGACACGCGAACGGACGAGAGCAGGTGTGTCCGGGCCCTGCCAGGGGAGGCCGGGTTCTGGGTTCTTAGGGAACCTGGGACACTTTAAGCTTCCAAAGGAGAAAAGGTCACTCCAGGGTGATGTGCCTATGATCCCTACAAGACAGCAGGTGCCCACGGTTGTTCCAGCAAAGGAAAGAATCTTCCTGACAGTGACGTTCACCATCTTCCAAGTGCTCACTGTGGCAAGGGGAGAGCGTGGCGAACAAGACATGGAGCTCTGCGATGACGCCAATACCCAGGCTCACGGTCTGGCTCATCTGCTTTCCAGGGTGACCTTGGTCAAGTCTTTCATTAACATGCTCCACCAACGGGCTACTGAAGATTCATTACTCGCCAGGCACTGGCC